GATGCAAGCAACCTGAGTCCTTAGCCCGAAAGCTTGCATCTGTAATAAGTTTGCCAACAGTATCATTTAAACTTCAATGGCTAGCATGGTACAATACACTAATAGTAGGCATACAGATATAATAATAACAATATATAATAACTTATTACAGATGCAAGCTTTCGGGATAAGGACTCAGGTTGCTTGCATCGCTAATAACTCGTCCACTAAAGGATATCACTTCAACTCCAAACTTTCTGCACTGAACGATGGTGACTAACGCAGTACAATACTATTCTACTGATATATAAGATGAGTAATCTGTGACATAAAATGTATCTATATACAAATTATCACTTAAAATCCAAACTTTCTGGATATTGTATAACAGGCATCATCTTCTTCCTGTACATATGTAACTTATCTTTGTCCAGATTCAGACTTTTTGCATATTGATGCATTGTGGGATCTTGCCCTGGAGACAGGAGTTATGTGAGAAGAGAAAAAAGTATTTAAAGAGGTGGAAACAGGAGACGATGGGTACACAACTGAGGGATGCCACCTAGGGGCTGGAATGCAGGTTCACTGGTGTGTTTGTATACCACCTTTGATGTAGATAACAAACAATCCCACAGTTATTTGAAATGACAGAGCTACTAATACAATTGAATGGTGTAGACTGAGGCAGTCTATAGATGTTTGCATTTCCGATCTGATGGGGCTTAAGTCGCTTCCCACAGTTTCATAATATCCTGTTTAGATGTAATTTATCATTGTGATTTTTAGGGTTGCACAGATACCAAGTACAGTACTCGGTACAAGTACGAGTACATGTACCGATACTTTTGAGCTCCAAGACTACACTAGAGAAAAATTCAAAAGTTAGGAGGCAGCTGTCATTTGTAAGCAGCACACGGAGCTCCTGGGATTTGTACATCTCTGTTTTAATGTTCGATTTTGTTTTTATAAATATAAATAAAGGGATGCACAGATACCAGTTTTGCGAGTACGAGTACTGGTACTTGCCGAGTACTTACAAGTACGAGTACTGATACAATTTTGTTTATTGTCATGTGACAGTTTTTCTAAAACAATACAGACTAATGATTTCAGGACAGGGGTGGAGGGCCAGAGCCAGGTCCCAGCTGCAACCGCTGCAACCCTGGTAGTTCTCATGAAAATGCCAAGTATCTGCACTGGTACTCGAAAAGTA